AGAGTTTTTGGATTTTCTAAAACATTGCCAGTGTCTTGTATGTTGGTGTCCCATGAGGAATACCGTCTATCCATATCTCTAAAGGGAGACCTAGGACTTTTTTGAAAATGTTGCACTAAGAGGCATTGATCTAAAACATTTTCAAGTTTCGGATATACCAACTTGCTTATGTTAAATGGAACGCCCTATACCTGTATTTTCGGTGTGATATGGCACCCAGCATGCTAGATTTCATAAATTTTTTAATAATAATAAAAATTATTTATCCAGTTAAGACATTTTCAAAAATGTATGTGGACATGTCACAAATGTACAGGTATTCACAATACAATACAACGTAAAACAAACAAAAACTATTAGAAAATACTATAAATCTTGAAGCACTAATTTCTCCATTTTTTTGTTGATTAACCATATGCATATTTCATGTTGTCGTACAGAAAACTGATTGCTCTTTTCAAATATCTGCAAAAACATAGGTATTGAATTGAAAAAACCAAAAGTTGTATAAATTTCCGGTTAAACCGGAAGTAATACCGGAAATTTCAATATGCAGTCGGATAGATCGTAAAACTATATTTGACAAATTTTTCGTATCTTGCCAAATAAAAGAGATATTGAGGTGACCCTCGTATCTCGAACGCACTGTATATTGTTGGCAGTACACATGATCATTGCCAATTTTTTCTATATGAGAGTAGTTATTTAATTTAGTGGAGTGTGTTAATGTTTTTATTATAAATAAACACAGCTTGTTCAAAAAATAACATTACCTCAATACCCAAGGACAAGGTATGTAGGAATTCTCGGGATTGAACAAGCTGATTTCGAGGCCCACCTAACTGCCAATCATACGGAGGTAGATGATATTCCCGAGGTCTTGTACAGGGTGAGTCAACGATTGCGCTAAGTAACTTAATGCTTTGAAGATAAGATTTTTCGATAGAGTGCTTTTGTATTATCATATGGTTGAATATTCTCCACACTTTAAAAATATTTGAAATGATACAGGGTGCGCTCACAAAGTAGGGCGCCCAAGTGGTACAATTTTTAAATAGAACCCCTGTATTTGAATGCATTTTTGAATTCTACGTGGACTTTTACGTCTTTTTTAGTATATGGTTAATATCCGAAAAGCTAGTAGTTTTAAAGATAATTCGATTTTTAAGAAAAATTGGACATTTGCAAGATATTGTCAAAATTATTACTTAAATTTTGATTCAAGGTTTTATGTCTTTTATCCAGGGTAAAGTGAAAGTCAAATTAATACATCTAATATGAAACATTAAAAATAATAGCTTACGGGGTTTTTTTTGGTAGGTCCAAAGTTCATATTAAAAAATTTCACTTTTTTTAAATGGAACACCCTGTATATTTTCTTTAATTTTTTAGCTCTTCCAAAAACCTTCAACTTTTGATAACAATGTTGTATACCTATCTCTGACATTTTTCGAAATATCTTGGTTTTCCTGGTTTTTATATTCTATTCTTAAATAATCATATCGATTAATTTATTTTTCAAACAATTTATTTTAAGTCCAAAAACTGGAGAATAAGTAAAAACATTTGACTACAAAGCAAATTTAATTTAACTCCTAATGTCATCCAGTCAGTGATATTAGTTTCATTTTTTTTTCATATTCACCTCGTTATTATGTAAATTAGAACTTATTTCAGATTAAAATATAAAAACCAGGAAAACAAGATATTTTGAAAAATATCAGAGATAGGTAGGACATTATTATCAAAAGTTGAAGGTTTTTGGAAGAGCTAAAAGATGAAAGAAAAATATACAGGGTGTTCCATTTAAAAAAAGTGAGATTTTTTAATATGAAGTTTTGTGACTTTGGACCTACAAAAAAACACCCTGTAAGCTATTTTTTAATGTTTCATAGTAGATGTATTTATTTGACTTTTACTTAACCCAGGATAAAAGATATAAAACCTGGAATCAAATTTTAAGTAATAATTTTGACAATATACTGACGCTTGCAAATGCCCAATTTTTCATACAGATCGAATTATCTTTAAAACTACTAGTTTTTCCGATATTAACCATATAATCAAAAAGACGTACAATTACACGTAGAATTCAAAAATGCATTCAAATACAGGGGGGTCTATTTAAAAAAATGTACCATTTTGGAGCCCTACTTTGTGGGCGCACCCTGTATAATTCCAAATATTTTTAAAATGTGGAGAATATTCAACCATATCATAATACAAAAGCACTCTATCGAAAAATCTTATCTTCAAGGCATTAAGTTAATCCGCGCAATCGTTGACTCACCCTGTACAAGGTGTATAAAAAGAATTTGTATGTGAGTTGGAAAAGAAGAATGGAAAAGGGACAGTGAATTGAAAACAATAAAAAGAACAGCAGAGAATGAAAGGTACCCTGTAGAACTACTTACATGACAAGAAATCATTCTCACTCGACTATGGATCGGTCATTGTTATCTAAGGGTACGTTTATGTTGGCGCTGGGAGCAGAGCAGCGATGAAAGCGGAGCGACGTTTTGCAAAATATTCTAGTAAATGGACGCGCTTATGTTCGAACGGCGCAAACCGAGGCCTACGATACTTACAGGCCGGAGCGCTCGAAAATTAACGAACACCATAATTTGATTGTGTGTACTATTGACAAGCTCTCATTGAAATTTCGTGGCTCTATGTTGAACGGATCCGGAGTAAAAAAATAAATAGTGGAGCCGCGAACGGATTTTCCATAAGCCGTAATGTATTTCATATGACTCCTAACGTCACGTGACTTTTTCGAGCGTTCCGGCCTGTAAGTATCGTAGGCATCGCGCAAACGCATAGCTGCATTGAGAAGAGCGAGGAAAGAGATTCATTTGCTGATATCGTTATTTTTAGGATGGATATTATATTTTGCAAAACTTGCTTCGCTTTCATCACTGCTCTGTTCGCAGTTCGCAGCGCCAACATAAATGTACCCTTACAGACAGTTATCAGCTATCACTGAAAAATTCACAAGTCGCTCAAATATACTGTGATCTGTGCAACTTCCCTCTGACAGTGTCTTACATAGTTGTGGTATGTCCCAATTTTAACGCAAATCGCCAACAATACGGATTAGCCAATCATTTGGAAGATGTTTTATCTGCGAATAGAAAGGAAAAAAGAGTATGACTGAGAAAAACCTTGACATTTGATTAATACATTCAAAAGCAATAATTTGTAAAATTATCAAGTTTAAGAAGTGATTAACAGAAACAGTAAATGCATAGACACAAAGTTAGCTGCAGTCAAGGTTAAAAATGGTGCAGTAAAATCCTTATATTAAAACTGCATGAAAAGTGGAATATTGCGAATAGATTCTAAACTGAAGAGTTTTTGTGTTAGCAGAGTTTCACTACTCGAACAGCTAGCAATTATGTACCCTCATTCAGGATTTCCTAGCCTATAGTTGACATTCGAGAACAATGTGGGCATTAGGAGTCGTAACTAATGTGGTTACAATCTCATTCACGGCGAAAAAATGTTAGTTTACAAAAAACAAGTCAATACACACATCAAATTTCAAATAATTCGATCATTTCTATTTATTTAAAAGAATGATCAAAATTTATAAACTTAACTTCCGATCAAGACCATGTATCAAAAATAACCATAAATTCAGCACACATTTACACCAAAAATGAATAAAATAAAATATATAAAGATTAACGGTATTTTCTATGTACGCGATCCATTGAGGTTAAATCATGTCAATTCCAAAACAATGATGGAAAAATATAAAATGTAGCCCACAAAACAAATAAATTATAAAAAAATGCAAAGATTGGCTGTTTTAAAAGATTGAGACTTTCTGTTTTCGCGACCCTGTGCGGCCTTTTTGTGAAACTTTTCATATTATAAACAGACTCAATGTAGCTACGTTTGTGAGGTACAGAGTGAAAATCAAAAGTTTGACTTTTTAAGATGTTATCATATCTTACTAACCGTGCAAGATAGAAAAAAGGTAAACACTGCCTATTTGAGATATTTTTGTGTAGAATCCAGTGGTGTAGTAAAAAATAATTTTTGGTCCATTGTTTCTGATATCTGACACAAAGTTGGTATTTTTTAAATGCAACACTCTTAACGTCCATTTTTTTGGATTTTTGGTTACATTCATGGATCACAATCTATATTTTTTTTAGTTTGAGCCATGAAATGAAAACAAAAACCGTGTTTTTCACAGTCTTGAAATATTAGGCCATGAATTTATGGGGGATGCTGTTTTGTTTATTGTATCCATAGTAAGCATGTCATTTCAAAATTATTAAAAATATGATATAAACGTAATATATGGTATAGCAAAAGTATAGGTTGTGATAGGACTGACGTCAAATGGTGAAACGAAATTATTTTTCATAGCACAACTTTAAAGTTTTGCAGATTTTTCATTTGTAGAGCTATTTTAATGATTCTTACGCAGTTTTGTTTCATTTTACTTAAATTTAATTTACAACAAAAAACTGGAAACTTTTCCATTCCACTTTTAATGTATCATTTAGACACATTTTTGTGCTATAGCGATGCCTGAAGTTGTGCTTTAAAAGTCCTTGTTCATTTCCCCATGGTAATCTGGATCATTTGTTTTTGAAGCACAATTGACAGAAACTCCTATCTACATGCAACATGTGTTTTTAACTTACTGGGTTGGATCATGTAGTAAATGGAGTTCCAAATTGCTGCTTGTGTGAAACCATCAACATTGTTAACGGGTTTATTATATTGCCTTGTCTTTTTAGGATTTTCTAGAGGTTTGTCCGATTTAGAAACATATATGAATTGTTATATTACTAAAGTAGCACTCACCTTCTTAACCGCTAAAATAATGAATAAGATTAGAAATAAGTTACTTACTTTTTCTTGGTAAACTCAATGGCATGAGACTTCAATTTCAATTTAATTTAATTTATTTGCAAAATATGTTATAAATGAATACAATTTACCGAAGGTATGCTTCTATAATTGTTCAGTATGAAACTAACGAATTTTTTTATCAGTTAATGTACCAAAATGCTATAAAATAATGAAAACGGTAGCAAAGAGTTGTCAAATTTGTCGCGTTGCAATGTAAACGTAAACTACTATAATTTCGAGTGACAGGTAACCTGAAAACAAAAGGAACCATTTTCACTAAAGGTTTTTGGTTTTATATATATTTTGTAAAATACATTGCTCAATCTAACAAAACACGTAATTCCAACGCTTATTGTGGTTTAATAAACCAGTTATAAATCCTATAAACGTGTCGAGAGTTGCGTATTAATTCCGATTTATTTTACAGCATTTCGCCACAAGCTGAGCTGCGGCATAGGAAACGTATCGAGCGACAGGAGCAACTGGCAGAACGGGTCCGAGATATGAAAAGACGTCAGATGGCTAACGAGCAGTGGACACAACTGAAGAGGTCTCTGTTCAAACCTTTAGCTATTGCGGGTGCTCTCGCCGTTGGCGGGGGCATCCTAGCTTATATATACTCTAAAAGCTGAGAGGAATTTTAAACGAAAAGCGATTCAATGTGTATTTATGATTTAAAAAATGAAAAAAACTTATACATTTTAGTTAGTATATTGTATTTTAGGTCTTAAAAACAAATGTTATATGCAGCTATTAATGTATTATCGAATTAACCCCTTTCTTTCTTTGTAGTTTTACAAATATTCGGAGGATATTGTGTATAATGGGAACTTACGCAAAATTATAAATTCAATTTGACATTTAAACTTACATATCACGTACAAATTTTATTTACGAATGTATTATTTGTGTCTCGTGCTCGTTCAACATTTTATTTCGTAGGCAATGAATGGAAAAAAGACTGAGAATGATTACCACTTTTAATATTAGTTTGCACATATTTTTATCTACGTTGGTGACTTGTTTTTGTTTGTACACATTAAGGGTGGTAGTCGAATTGTTGAGTTGGTTATTATAATGGGTGGCGTGTATATTGTATGTAATAGCTGTGAACTTATATAAGACTTAAATGTCAAATGTACTATTTTGCAGTAGGCATTTTCTTTTGTACGCTAAATTTTCAAAAAATGTTTATCAAAATATTTAGCCCCGTCGTATTCAGACCAATTCAATTCGTGAAATTGATGTGCCTTCTGTTAGGTTTTTTTTTAATGAGTACTGTACAACTGTTTATTACAAATTATTGGTGAAGCAGCTGGCTGTGATTTATCGATGTCGTTCGACTGCATATTTTCTAAATTGATTTATTTGCGTTTGCGGGTGTAATCCTAACGAATATTTTGATAAGCCATTTTTGTCGAAACAAGTTCTGTGTACAGTACAGGGTGAAATAGAAGTTGTAGCACTCCTTACTTTTTCAAAAACAACTAGGCAATACCACACTTTTGATAAAAAAACGAGATTTTTTTACATTCCTAGTTAAAATTTAAGTGCCTGTTTATTAATAAAAGAAAGTATTAAAAATTGAATTGACAATATCCATTTGTTTTCGTTTTTGTTTATGTAAGTTACAATAATTGTTTATTCAAAATAGCTGTGACAATCGGTTTCTAGGTTTAATATCATTATAACCCGCCGATTTGTGATTATTTTTAATATTTTCTCATGAATTTTTATATAAACTTTAATAAACATGTTTAATATATTCAATTGTTTATATATGCCAGTTTTTCATTGCAGGCCTAAGACTGCGCGTCGAGACTGACACTCGAAGTTTTTTTGGAAGAACTGGGAGTATGACACGTTTAGATTAGTTGAAGATAAGTTCTACGGTCTCACGTTTTAATTGACGAGGTGCTAGTCAATCAAAATTGGTATGTTATTTAAATGTCTTCAATTTTATACATTAATGTAAGCTGATGACAATTTCCGTACATCACAAACCTTTCTAATTGCATCAACTCGCATTTCATATTAGTACTTGTAAGCCATTTTAAAAATAGTGATATATATACCTCGAAGATTAATAAAATTCATATGATATTAATTTCGTCTGTGATTTATTTTCTTAGATTTCGATAGTGCTCTAATGTTGTGTATAATCGTCGCTTTAAGTGGAAGTGCTTCACACTCTTCACAGAGTTTGTGGTATAACTTCAATTTAAAAAAAGCGTAAGTATACTATTGCCTAATGTGGTAACTTCCTAATGGAGCAGATTTTATTTTGGGGCCCTTTTTTCTGTTCAAATTGCTAATCGCCAAATGGTTTGTGGTTTTCATATTTAAAGATAAGCAGGAAATTAACACATTTTGACAGAAACTTACCACTTTTATACTCTCTGTAAGAGTATTTGATAATAGAAATGTATAATCATTTATCAATCATAGATATTTGATGATAATTACTGATAGTTATCCACAAATCCACACCTTCTGTCAATTAGTTGTGTTTTGTTTAGATCATATGTTAACCCCATATTTAATTCTTTTAGAATGTGTTTTGCTCACAAAATGAAGAGAAGTTTACAAAGTTGCTTGTATAGGATCTCAATTGAAGCACTCTTAAATTTACGCTTCTAAAATAATTATCATTGCAGCTAAGGTCAACTATTCTTGAATTTCGGTGAATTTCGGTGGCAGGAATGGTTTAAAAAGCATTTCAATTGTAACTGAGTACCAAGTAACTATTGATATGTTTATCGATTTCAACTACAAATGTATTATTGACATTATCAGTATTATTTATTTATTTATAGTTCTGGTAAGTGCTGCCACTTTACTTTGTGGTACTTAATGAATACTCTATTGTTTGTGCATAAACTAATATTTTGTTGGTTTAAATAAAAAATCGTGTTATGTTTTCTAATCAGATTTAATTTGCTCTAACCACGATCACATGAAACACCCTTTTAACAGTAGTTCTGCTTAAAATTAATTTAATCAGCAAGTCATTTAAAGGAAAGGAAATTAAACAATTGCAAATTATTTACATTTCACATTTTAAAATCATAAGAAACATTTTATTACTCTGTGTTGTATAGGTAACTAACAAATGAAAATTTCACTATAAACAACTTGCCCAATATTTCGATTATGGATATAATCTTAGACAGCAATACACAATATTTAACTTATTAGTAGGTATTTCTATGCAACAGATATATGAAGGAACATTATAAAAGCTGATGAATACTTTATAAATCCATTCAAATTAATTGATATTATACTATCCAGTAGATTCATTGTTCGGTAGGGATGATTTGAATTATGGAAACAATTAAGGGAGCCGATACAAGACTTTCTACACCGAAAGTATTAAAATGGATACCTTTTTCTACTTATGTCCTGTTTAAATGAAAATATGTTGGCAAATCACTTTCCTGGAGAGCAATGCAGGTAAGTATATCTAATACAGGGTGGACCATTAGTGTGTGTATGGAAGATTGTGGGTTTATTAACGGACATATTTAAAATGCATTGTCGGGACATGTTGAAGGACTCAACTGCTTAGTGTTACAACCCGAGTTATGCTTTATCGTTTCACGTTACTTTTGGTGCTTGCCCGAATTGAACCTCTAAAGTAATGCTATTTATCTATACTCCCGGTTATTGTAACAGTTTATTTTTCTTCATTACAAGTATTATTTGTGTACGCGGTATATTTACTTGAAAAATCCTCCTAACTTTTGAACCAAGCAGTTTTAGCGCGTATTTTGCCATGCTGTAATTTTTCGTTGTCGACCTTCGCCTTTCTTTTTCTTTTGTGAGCCGTGACTTTATTTTAAATTATTTACACTTTACTTACACTTACACTTTACTTACTACTTACACTTTATTTTAATTATACAGCTGAGGCGTTAGAACGCATGGAATGTTAATTGCCATCATCCATATTTTATTAATCTCTGGCATTTGGATTCATTAAATTGGGGACTCTGGAATAATTATAGTGAACGGATTCGCCTTTAACGTAGGAGGATGTAATTGCGTTTATTCTTCTTTATCGTTATCTGTTATTTGACAAATTCTATCGATGATTCATTCATCTACAATTAGCCCTCTTATTTAAGAGGTACATATGTACATTTTAGTTTATCAAGAAAGAGGGGTTACCTTTGATTTTATTTCGAGTTTTAATGGGGTCATCCCGCCTTTATTTTTTATTTCTGATCCACAAAGTACAATACAAATTAAAAGACCCGTGTGTCCTCAATTTTTATTTGCGAGTAAAATAAACCCAAAATAAATTGTTGAAAAGCTGTGTTTTTAGTCCGAATTTGAAACGCTTCAGACTAAATACGTCACAAACCTACAACCAATCACGTAGAAGTGAACTGGCAACCTTACGCGAGGGTCTGACGTTTGTCACATTTGACGTTTTGAGAGGGATGTTTAACTGCATCTAGCACGAAAGTGACAGATGACGCAAGTTATAAATGCCATTCTCCTGCAATATTGCCAAGTCGTTATGTCATCTGAATGGTTCTAGGAGCTGATTGGTCGGGCATATTACGTCACAGAGCCCGCCACAATCATATCGTTTTGAATAAACCTTTAAAACCGCACATGTTCATTATTTTTTTGCTAATCAGCCTCTATTTTTAAATAAACTTTTACTGTCCAAAAAAATGTTTTATGGTTTCAGGTACACGCTTCTTAAATTAGAACTGCGGAATTCAACTATACTGTAAACCCCCATTGTAGGTTCAAGTGTTAGTTCAAAATCTAGTTTTAATGGACCAAGTTTCAGAGGTAAGCATTTTTTAAACAATGTTAGTCTGTATATGAAGGCTTGATTTAGCTTTGCAGTTTGTTCATTTCACAGCCTCTTCTCTTATGCTACTGATGCCCAGTTGCAGCATCAAAATTAAGCCTTGCGTAATAAGTTAAGTCGAACTTAAAATCTATGGCAACGATTATTAAGAAATATGGCATTAACCTTTAATTTTGCCATATATTTTTATATAAAGCTGTCTTTGTCATGTTAAATTAAATATCAAAAACTACACCTATAATTCAGACGTTCACGACATATGCGGAATTTTTTAGTTACGAATTTTGAATTGTATTTAGTTTTTATTGACATTTGTACGCAATGTTTCTTTTGCATGCATAAATACCTCTAAAAAGCATTATGCGGGTCACTCTGTAATTGGTCGAAAGCCTGTTGAGGGCCCAGAACAAGAGAGGGATTAAAAAAAAATAAACATTATTATATTCATACATATAATAAATGCCGGAGTGTCAAAATTACTTAGCAACATTCATCTCGAAATACAATTTTAGTCTAAGGTTACCGTATCCAGGACCTTCAGATACCTTCTGGACTGGAGAAGGTCCGCCTAATTAACAATGTATTTCATGTACTTTATGTGAGAGACTTCGGAATGTTGTTTTTCACAAATGGGAAAGATTCAACATCCGATGTAAATTATTCAAATTCAAGAATCAAGAGTTACGTCCTCATTGGCATTTTACTTTCTTTTGCCGTTCACATTCAATAAGTGTGTTGTAGTCTACTTAACCCCCAGGTTCTACGCTAACTTCACACTACAAGAACACGGAAATAAAGTCAAGCCGACGTTTAAAAAAGGTCACCCGAATGTCTATTCCCTCCAAAACTAAACAAGATCCCGCTTAAATTTGAAAAGTGGCACGTGATCTTAGTGATCAAACATCTAAGGCAGGGCCCCCCTTACGTTGGTTTTAGACAACGCTTTGCCCTGAAGCACAGGTAGGGAAGGAACGTTAAATAAAACACTGAAATTGTGAAAAGTTTGTTTAATAATGATCACAATTATTAATATTGTAAAAGCTCAGAAATTTAAGTCGAAATAAATTACAATGCAAAAATAAAGTTTGAAAATGGTAGTTCACCGAATAAAAATAGAAATAGGCTGGGAAAAAAAGAACTTACCGATAAAAAAACAAGCCGTCAAATTAATATCAAATTGTGTTGTAAAATTAATTGTTTGTAATGAATGTGAATGCTTAACATAAAATTATAAATCACAAAAAGTAGCAGGTAAACTTCAAGAGGTAACATATAGGTTAAAAACAAGTTTTGGGAATTATGGGTCAAGTAAGCAGGTACCAAGATTTTAAGAAAGGGTGAAATACACAGGATGTGGCTCATCTTTGGTGCAATAAAGCCCTTTTGTTAAAAGCAAGATGGAAAATTACATGGCCTTATAGGCAAATTTAACTAAAAACAAGATATGTGGAAATTACGAATCGCCACTCATTTATCGCACATTGATTCTAACCTGAAGAGCTTTGATTAGCGTAATCCCGCTCCTGCAAGATAGGTAACCCGCACCTGGTTTCGGGGTTTCGAGCCTACAGTTGAATGTCGAAGAAATCATGGAGTTAGGTGTCGTAGCTCAATTTTGACTACAGATTTTTACCACCCCCGTGACTGCTTCATTCACGGAGAAGATTGTTAGTTACAAACAACAAGTCAGTACATACGTCAAACGAATCGGTAATTTCGACATATTGAAATAAAATGATCAAAACTTATATGAATGTTACTTCAGGGACAAGACCAAGCAATCAACATCAATAAACATAAATTAAGCAAGCATTACACCAAAAACGTAAACAATTACAAACAATAGCATAACGGTATCACATATGTGATTATGGATTACGGTTAAACCAAGTAAATATCAAAAACAAAGATTCAAACACACAAAAAATATAAAATGTGACATACAAAACACAAATACGATATAAAGAAATGCAAAGATTACTACCTGCATTAAACTCCTTGGTTTCATTTTATATTGCACTCAGAAATAGACATTTTGGTACGATTGGGGACGTAGGTTCAAACATGTAGGACAATTTTACAGATTTTCCTGGGAACTTCCCTTTTGAATTTAAATATCCGAAAAAAAAGTATTATGGATGGGGTGCACAATAGGTATGATCGAAAGAAAACTAATGGGCCAGTCGATCCTGCTTGTAAGAAAACCATCGATAACATAGTATACAGTTCAATGAAGAAAACATAGTAAGTAGAAGTAGTTCCTGTCATCAAAT